ATACAATAAAACTCGTTTTTCAAATAATTGAATTTTAATATTCCTTTAGCTAATCGACTTCGAATCGTATAGACCGATTCATCATCAGACCTTAAGAGTCAGAATATTGTGCTGAATAATACAAATCCTTACATATTAACATTTGACGTAGACAAGTTACACATAAAAATGGGATTGAGCTTACTTGTGATTCAAATTCGTAAAAAAACCACTTTTTTATGTGCTAAATCCTTCAGTTTTAGAGATAAATGATATATAGCAAAAAAGTTTCCTCTCGTCACAAGAGCTTTCAATAAAAAAAAGAAAATTAAAATCGGACTATTAGGAGCAGAGATACAAAAAAATATATTGCGGCTAATGGCGCCATTTTGATGGCCATCATATTGGTTTCCTGCACGGATTTTCGAGTGGCTCCCTATCTCAAAAGTTGCCTTTTGGCACAGAAAGTGGCATATTCCAATCAAAAAGTGCAGTTTTTTTTTGGCGTACCCAACGTACTAATCACACAATACCTACACAGAATACGCAATATACTTAAAACAAGTTACACGGTAGGAATACAATCAAAGCTATTAACACATATGCCAGTACACCAGTACTTTACATAGTCTTTTGGATTTATACGATGGACAAACATAGATTTAAAACAAATGCAGAGAAACACCCGTACACTATTAACAACACACAATATACATCACTACAAATACACTCTACGGATAATACTTGATAACACTGCACATAAATTTGGTATAATGGGATAGGACACTACAGACCAGACATTACACTTATAGGTAGAGCAATATTTAAAAATTGAAAATGATAGATGTCGACGAAGTGCATCCGTCCGTGGATTAAAGACTTTAAATGCGAATATCTCGAAACCGGAGTGTCGGAAGAGTGTACTCACAGAAGGAAAATGATAAATTAGAAGAACTTCTTTACTAATATTTGATAGTAAAGTGGTCGGGTTGTCTCGTAGATAGCATCTACACATCCATGAAAAGTATGCTTTATTTGCCTTTGGTGACGTTGTATGCAAATGTTAGTCACCTCCCCGTGACAAAAATAGTGCGACTAATTTTTAACGTATTGGGTTCCCGAGTATAATGTAATTTACCACCGGATACATACGGAAGTGACGAGTTGCCATTAAAATACCTAGCGCCCGCTTTCGTGTGCCTATTTTAGTGGAGATATGACATTGAGGTAATTGTTGTAATTATTATGTAAGCCTAACAAACCTACTAATTATGGAGCGTCAAATAAATGTAAGTGCACAAATTCTTTTCGAATAAATATTCTTTAAAGCATATAGGCCATATTTAGTGGCTTCGATACCTTGTGGGATAAATCTCTGAATAATTTCTACAAAATTTGATGCCATTTTCAGTTAGAATTACAAAAGTAATGCTGCGGAAGTTACTTACTCGACATTCTAAATTATAAAATTCAAAACCCTTTTCTGATTGTTCCCGTCAAACTTGCTGGGATTTATTAGTTTAATAAAATCATGAAACCAATGTGTTTCTGTTTTACGTACCCTGCAGCTATTCGCACTCAATTGTATTTTCTTTAGCCTAAAATTTGATGAGATTCTTTTAATCGCAACTAGAGAATAGTCACAGTCTGTATCGTTTGATTTTATAGCCTATACTTTCGTATTCTGATGCCCGTTTTAAAATGTCAATCGTTTGAGAGATTCTACGACTGAAACGGTATACAATCTTTCTCTGAAAAATAGGCACCAGTATATTACTAAAGCTTAATACAACCTATTACAAGTGGGTCTGTTTTAATGTAATTATAGTATTTGAATATTCTCCTGTTTGAAAGATACATACACCCCGAAATACAAAACACGTTTTTAATCCAATTCTTATAAGTACAATACAAAATCTGTTCATGCAAATGGTTCTTATAGGTCGATTTCTGAAGGAATATTAAAATTACTTCAAAAAACATTACTTATGCAAGTGTCTAAAAATAACCCACCACGACTCTATGCAAATCAAACCGGCTTCGATCTCGCGAACTTTTTCTTTCCAAAAATTCTCCTAAAAAGGCCAAAGGTACATTTTTTCTATTTATGAGCTAAAACTAATCCAATTTTTTCATTTTTACAGTCAATCAAAAATTTACATTGATTTTTATACCCACACACATTGTGCATATTCTACGCCAATAATGAAAAGTGAGCAAATGGTTATTTTCGCATTTTGGGCGCATTTCCATAAAAAAATGCGCTATTAATAATAATAATAATAAATGTCTGAAATGTAAGAAAATGTTTTGTTATTTAAGTATTATACGCTAAAATCCATAATAATAATAATAATTTAAAGATTATTTACTTACTAGTATGTCACGCATCGCACGATTTCAGCTGGCAAATTATTAAATATTGTAGCAATCGAGTAAGAGAATGATCTTTGCAGTATCTTGGTCTTATGAACTGGAATAGATAAATAGGTCTTTACGTCTAATAAATAATATTGTGACTACGTTGTCAGTCCGTCTGTCCATCCGTCTCTCCGGTCGCTAGTAGATCTTTATCGGTGTTTGGTTCATTATGGTGTCGAGACTTGCACCAAGGAAGGAATTTTTCTGCATTTATTACTAAGAAAGTTATATAGTAAAACATAAATTTTTAATGCAATTTTACACTTTATTAACAATACCTGAGATCGTTTACAAATGTGTTGTCTGTCTGTCTGTTGTCGTGCATCTGTTCTCTGTATGCCCGTCTGCCTGCCTATCCGTGTGCACGATAACGTTGGACCGAAACGTCGCGGATCGCTTTGAAAATTTATACGCATGTTCTTAACGATATAAAAAAGGTCGCTATCGGACACTAGCGGGCCAAAAACTTACAGCCCAAAAACTGCCCAAACCTCCTAAAGATTGGGTTCTTGTACAATTTTTGTTACAAAGAACGTATCAATGTCCAGGTTTTTTGTGTTACTTCGTTTACGATTACTTTTTTAACTTGTTATTTTTATGGTTGATGAAAGAATGGGGTATGACAACTCCCTCAGTTTTGAATGCTCTCAGTTATATTGAAGAAAAATGTTTCAAAACCCACTCGTGGGTGTTGCCGCTTAAGACAACTGTAAATGGTGAGTAACCAGCAAATATAGACTATATAGCAGCTATGAATTAGCGAGAACCCGAAGTCTCTAGGTGGCTCAGTGCCAAGATCTCGATGGAACAGACAGACAGACGACGATCACATAAACTTTACCTCAACTTAGTTGTGTTACCTACGCTAGAAAAACCGTCTAATGCAATTATTTTATTTTCACTTTTTTTTTCGAAAACTTGTCAATATTCACAGATGTGTATCTCTGGAACTAACTGGGTTACAGAGCCCGTATATAGTTATAGCTCGTCTTTTAGGTAATTTTCTCTACTTTAAATAACATATTTCCTCCTCAGAACACCCTTTTGCTTCTGTTTTTGCAAAAAACCGAAAATTTTCTAGATTTTTACCCTGTACATCGACTGGCTCACGTTTCTGAGGGTTGTAAATCTAGATTTATACTATCTAGGTAGTCTCCAACAACATATTAAAAATGCAAGTTTACAGTATTTTTTGCTTAAAGTATGTTTAGTGCTTAAAATGAACTGGCCTACATTATTAAAAGACATGGGAAGTAAGTTTCTTGTATTGATTTCTTGTTGATTGATCCATTTGTTATAAAATTTCAAAATTGTAAGGTGGGGGTATGTTCTGTACACATACATGACAGTAATTAGACAGTTTGATGTTAGATTTATAAAAAAAACTGTAGTTATGCTTAAATATAGACTTGTTGTTATTTTTGGAGAAGATTTGCGTTTTTTATTTAGACGAGTTACACAGAATGGACCGAAACTTTTAGGTCCCAAGATATCGTGGCAACGGCGATCGCTTGGTGCGATACGTATTTTATCATCTCTGGTTGTATACTTTGGTTCTTTTCGCTATGAAGCGATACATGTGTAAATCTTCCAATGCTGACCAAAATACAAATTCGAAAAAAAAATACTTTTTTAATTATAAAGCGAACACCTGTAACAATTACTTACATTATCGCTAAGATTCACCCATAAAGGTCGAGACAACAACAAGCTCCAAATTTTCCTTACGTATTGGTGTCGAAAAAAAAGGATGGAAAAAGAACAATAACCAAAGTTTTTCAAAAGTAGTTAAGCAAACGAAAAATTTTTCAATAATACAATTTTCATTTATACAACATTGCATCAACAACGTTATATACCAATACCGCCATTGAATAATTATTATTCAATTATACCGCACTCCAACACATCAATACAAAATAAATTCGCTATTACGAATTTCACAGTAAACTTAAATATGCGGTAATAGTCAGTAATGAAAGCTACAAAGAAATGATGAAAACCTGTGCAAGAAAGACTTCCTAAGCTAAATTATGTTTCAACACCTTTTTCGCTTTCTCACTAAGGGATTATTTGTCCGGTTTATACAAGAATGTGCAAGCGCCAGTAAGTACCTAACTTCTGTATCCATCCTATATACGTTAGCTTTTCCTCAAAAGTTTACGAAACAAGCTGGAAAACTCCGGACTACGTTTTAATATTATTTGATTCTTGAGACATGAGTAGTGCAAATGAAAAGTAAGTAAGTAAGTAAAGATATGGAGCTAATCGTCTCTTTCATTAGAAAAGCCGGAAACCCTCTCAGTTTTTCGACATTCGAAGTGAAAGAACAAGAGCAAGATCTTTTTGACCTACTTTCAATTGAAAGGAGCTTACAAGGATTTGTTTCAGAGTTGGATACGTTAATGTCCCACATTTTCGAGAACGAAAGCCGCGAAGAGCACTTCCACGAAAGAATTGAGCTTCTGGGTTAGGTGAAAATGTGTTACGCTAATTTAATGTGACAGTAACTATTTATAGCGTAACATAGACGCTGAAATTATTCACATCTTTATTAACGAACCGTTTATACCCATAATACATCCTAAATTTGTAATTGTCTGATGGCATTATTTGCCTCGGCTATACGGACGCACCGGATGCAATCGTCGTGATTACCGCCTAATTCTGATTGAGCCGCGGCGATCCGTCAGAAAATCGCTTCTGCCTGCACTACCGATATGAAATGATCAAATGGATTTGGTGGTAGTTAATTAATAAATTAACTTGTTGCATCCTCCTGAGTGCGTCTCTGTTTTCTATTCGCGAGATCCGGTGGGACTGCAATTACGAATGCTGCAGAGATCCATTAGTTCTCGGGTGACTGTAGAGGGTATAGGAATAACGTGTGTGTCTTGTGGGCTTCCAACCTGAGGTTGTTATCGACACTTGGATTATCTATAGCTACCTGTTGAAGAGGGTGAGTAAATTCGCGCGAGACACCCTATAATGTCCATCCGCTGCATGGGGGTGTATTACATTATTCGGTGTGTATTGGTTTTTCAGCATGGAGTTTGATGTAATTTTTGATCTTCAATTGACACTAATTGAAAAGGGTAGGTTTCCATTATTAAATTGAGGTGGCACCGGATATTCCTTATTTTAATATTGATGCCAAGAGAGATAAATAGGAATTGCTTTTAAGTGATGTTGAGATTGACTTTTCACACTATTGCCTTCTTTGGAGAGTCATCAGGAAGAAAACTCAATGTTGATGACTATTCGTGTAATACCTAGCGCTGTTATTAGTAACTTATGACCACCTGTTTGCGCGCTCTTCACGCAGGGGTCCGAAGGATTATTTCTCTACAGATCATCAATATCGCAGCCCTAACCTTATAAGCTCCTTTGAGGAATATGATTAAAAGATATTAGCGATGGTCGCATTAATTATTGAATAATTTACAAAGATGTAATGCTCAAAGAAGCGAATGTGATTAAAATACCTTTTAAACTATAACTAAATTACACACCTAAATTTTCTTTGTAACCTAAAGTGCTTTTATGTAGACTTGTTTATTTTTTATAATAAAGTTCGGCCGATATTACGTGGGTTATTAACTTTATAGAAACCCCAGCTTAGTATCTTATGAAGTGGTGAATAGAGCACATAGCACATGCAGAAAGTTACTAGCCACAGCCACCATAAGGTTACTCCGATCACAACCAAAGAAATTCAACCCTTAGGGGTTTCTGAGGCGAGTTATACGAATACGTGACCGACGGAAGATTAATAGTGCTTGAGATTTACTACAGTATCATTTTCGATGCAACATTATCCTCAAACTTTACAATTATTTACACAAAATATGCACAAGAAAAAATAATAGTTGGCCATGGTTTAATTTATCCCATTTTTCCATTTGGAGTTGATATTTCGTCTCCTAGCGGTGAACATACGAAACTAAAAATGCATAATTTACAATTCGAACAGGAACACTACCAGGTTGTAGGGTAAATATGGGAACATTTGCACGAATTAAAGAAATTCGTTTTAGGAATGATTATCTATCTATTTTGACATGCTTTGATCAAAATGCATATGGCATTGAAATAATGCTCTTGGTCTATTTTCCAACGCCTTGGTGCTTGAATAACGATTTTGGTATGTTTTGACCAAAATACATTTGTCCTCAGAAAAAGAATTTAACATCTTTGAATCAAACACACGCGGTTATTAAATGTGCCTGTGGTATTTTTACAACTGAAATTCATGTATAAAGAATAATGTTCTGAGTACATTTTGCTCTAAAGCTGTGGACATATAGACCATAGAGAAGTATTAGGTACACATCTAAGAGCCGTACAGAATAAGCTAGGGAATGATTTCCTGCAGATTATACTGTCTCCGATTCACTCGAAGTCTCATAACTTTTATTCCTGTTGAGCCAGCAAATCAACAGCATTCTACCTTAAGGTCCAAAATACGCGCACACCAAATTTCAACACGATTTGCCACGTTTCGAAAGAGTTTTAGCGCATACGGATGGAGGGACGAACAACAATACAAAACTATAATAATAATTGGAGTACTAAATCGTTAGATTTCTGAATGTAAACTTATTTTCGCGATTGGGACCTTCTTCCGCAAAGATAATATGGGTTAGGTACTTTTACCAATTGCTGTCAAATTTAACTTGGTCTTTTTTAATCGTAAACTATTAGGACTCTTTACGGAAATAGAAAGAAGATATTACAAGGTAAGTAATGATGCTTTTAATGTGTACGACTTTTGAACAATAACGAAATAAAGTATGCACTTATTAAAGGTCAAAGGGGCAAGTCACGGTTTTATGACCTAAGCAATTTGTATTATACGGTAATTACTTTGATATTGAACATGTAATCTGTCGGTTTGATTTTCCTTAAGAAAATGCAAATATGTGACACGTATATACTTATTGAATACTTTAGCGCCTAATAACCTGGATAGTAGGGCCGAAAATCGCAATAAAAATCAAATGACAAGATATAGTCAAAAAAAGGTGCAAGAAAGGTTTATTGGTTTCAAAATTAAAAAAAAAATTAGTAGCGCCCTTCCCTCTAGGGCTATTGGGCAAATGCAGGCCCGTAGAAGAACGCGTGTAAAAAGACGAGTAGTGTACTTGTATCTACCGGGGCCATGTAATTAACAACTTTAGAGACGGGGCTACATGATGTGGGATCCGCGACATCTGGGCGCCATCCCCGAGCGTGTTATACAAACGGGGTGATTTTGGGTACGATCCTTTGCAAGTTGGTGTCATCGGAAAGATCTGTGTAAACGCGCACAACTCCTGCGTGACCGAGGTTTTTCTTTCTAGAGGCGAAATTAAATACTTTTTGCGTCTTCGAGAAGTAGTCGACTTTGGGCGCTCAAACGATGCTTAGAGCTCGAATAGCGGTCTCTCTTTCTTGTGCCCGTGGTATGAGAAGTGCCCCAAAAATTGTTTTCTATTATATGGAGGGTTTATGACGAAATCTTTAGTTTTTATAGTTTTATGTATCAGGTAAATATCCAACAATACTAAAATGTTGAGTATATAGCCGACTATTTTAGAATGTCTGCTCAAAAACACGGTTGGGGTTCGATCGGACCCGGCCTCCACTCGTTAACAGGTGTCTATAAAATTTTGATGTTGAATATTGTTGAAATTATTCATTCAATACGTTTTTGTTAATGTTTCCTTCGAGGTTTCCTTCATATTATCTTCTGATAACCTCATCGTAAAGATATATTCTCAAAAAATTCAAATTATAAGCGATTTTGCCAATGCAATTCTCTTTTGTAATTCCCTATGAGATCATGATTACTCAAAATCACATTGTTAGCTTTCATTCTATAATTTTCGACTCCAAATCACCAAAAGTAACATCCCTGCCGTATTGGAAACAGTTTGAAATAAAGTATAGGCTATAGGCACGCGAAAACCAGGAGAATTACGAAGCGCAAGAAAAGACAGATCAACCGAAAACGGAAGATGCCATTTGTGCCCGAGGAGCAAAAATCAAAAAGTTAAAGCACAATGTTCTCAGTGTAAAAACAATATGTGCCAATCACATGGAAGGACAGTTACTTGTGCAGTAATTCAGAAAATTTAATATGTATGACCCTATTCCCTTAGTTTTTCCATCAAATGGGATTGGGTCCGCGCGGACCCCACCCGGTATCAGGTGTTTTCAAAATCACCCGGTGTTATAGGAAGTAGATATCTCTTTAATGCCCCCAGTCTACATTATAGTTCCTAGTTGGAAACTGCAAATCTTCATTGGTTTTTTTTAAATTCCATTCTGTAATATTTATCACAGAACAGCCTGACAGCAAAATGTATTCCATTTTTGAGAATAACTTGCAGTTCCTTACTAGCTATGAGAGTTCTAAAAGAACTTGTTGATAATGAAAAATCTCGTTTTCCGCCAACAAAAAAATTATTAAAGGACAGACGATATTTGAAGTACAATTACAACTGACCTTGACCTGCAAAGGGAGCCTAGTGATTTATTAACACTTGGAGTCAAGTAACTGACCAGAGTTCTTATGTACAATTTCAATTCACTGATCAATTTGCTTAGCTCTTCTTAATTCACCTTATTACTATTCCACCCCATTTGCGCATCCATCGTCACAACTTCTCTTTTGCTGTTCGTAGTTATTTTCCACTGGTCACTTAGAATCTCATCTTCTAGTACATCCCAGTCCGATACACGTGTATTGAATCTAATACCACGATCAAAGCCATCACCTGTCTTTTGAGCGTCTACTAATTTCGCGGTGCGAAGGATGAAATTTAATTAGTTTCAAGATAAGCACGTGTTACCGCCGATAAGAAAAAAATCTGGTTTTGATTGACTGTTTTGCTATTAATTTACGAAATCTTAAAGGAGGAGGTTTTTAAGATGGAAAGGAGGCTTCTTTGATGATGGACATATGAAATGTGACACTTTTTTGGTGGTGGTGAATTAGTGCAAGTTTTAAACACTGTTTTGAGCAGTCAGCCTATTGGGTGCTACGACGGCGTTCGTCTTTTTGATAGTGAAGTTTTGTTTATTGAAGAAGGTTAGTTGATTTAATGCACGACCCCATCAAATTGATTAATTGTGTTCGTAAGCGTTCATAGCCTCTTTATCCGCACCCTGAAAAAATATTAGTTTCAGAGGCATTCACTTGACCGCCTCTCACCGAATGCGATACTGATACCTCTCGGTTATTACCCTCATTCCAGCTTTAAGGCTTTTGTCTATAAGCACTTTGCTTCGACCACACACTAACATAATATCCACTTTGTGCTCTTTGTTTTTTATATCGCTTTAGTGCGATACCCCTATTGTTTATATTAATTTGCATTACCTTCATACCAGAGATTGGACTATATCTGATTCACCTCGCACTTCTGAGTAAACCACACTCGCACTTCCTTTTTGTCCGATATTATACCGGTAGATCATATACAGTGATATTTATTAAAAAGTAGACGTAGTGATTTATGTGTATTGTTTTTCCCTATGCCTACTTTTAAAAGACAAAATATCTTCTGAAGGGCGCCTAATTTTATGCATCCAAAATAACTTTTTAAAACAAAGTGAGTTTGGGAAGCTAAAGCAACAATATTCAAATTTATTAATTTGACAGCCAGATCTTTATTTGTTTTAAGAAGTTATTTTAATTTCATAAAATTTGGCACCCTTCATTTAAAAGTAGACATAGGGAAAAACAATACACATAAATCCCTATGTCTACTTCTTAATAAATAGCAATGTCTTCTTTCATCTTTTATCGATACTAGTTCCGATTGCGAGGCTTCGGCACCCTGTGTAATAATCCCTTTCTTCACCTATCTTCTCGTATTTACAGTTTCGTGTGAACGTCGAACGTCCAAATCACTTCCCTTTGCCTAGCTTTTCGCAATTGCCACAGGTTTATTCTACTTTGCTTTCGCTGGC